CTGCCGGCATGACCTCTGCAGCAGTGCAGGGCTTTCACTTTGTTTCTTTCCACGTTCCACTCCCACAAGAGAACAGTCTGATCCATAGAGGCACTCAGTAGTAGGCAGGACAAACTGTCTGAAGAGAGGAGAACACAAGAATAAGAAACAAATTACCATCAAAATTTAAAATAGTGTCCTGAAACCAAAGAATTGAAATTTGTGTGGTTGTTGAGAAAGATGTTCAAAAGGTAGAAGACCTCATACGGCCAGCTTTGAAAAAGAAGCTAACTTACGGTGTAAAGGAAAGAGTCTTCAAAAATACTACAAAAAATATGCATTCAACACACTTAATATTAACTTGAAAATGTTTATCATCTGATATAATTTTAGTCAGGATTCACTTCCTCTGATTTATAATTTTTTTTTATATAAGTCTTTTCCTCTTTACCACTATATATTTGAAAGACCCCATAATACTTAGGCATTTCTTACCCTGTCCCCATTCTGCCCCAGCACTGAAAATGGCTTATTTTCAGTTCCCTAGGCAGGATTCCTCTAAGTTTAGGCAAAGAGTCCTAACCTTTTTTCACCCAGGCCACATCTTTTACAACGTCTGTATGTCCCACAATTGTCATTATTGACTTTCCTTCCAAGGACCAGATCCGAGAAGTCTTATCATAAGAACCAGTCAAGATCCTACAAGGAGAAAAAAAAATCCTATGAAGTACAAAAAGCAGCTTTTTTAAACCCTGAAATCAATTATGTATCTAAGGCAATGACAAAGTAAACCTGGAGGATTATATTTTTAAACTCTTCTTTAATATAAAGATTAAGATTTCAAAACACACTAGATTAGATCAGAAGATACTACATTTGGCTTGACCTCCTAAAAATAAAAATATAATCAGCAAACCCTAGATTTAGTTTTTACTACTTTGTAAATACTGTAACTCCCAGGGAAGCCTAATAATCTTTCATATTTAACCAATGAAAACCATTAAATAGTAACCATTAAATAGAAAAACAGTAAAACCATTTAAAATAAAGACAGTACAAACATCAACTGTGTAATAACTCCAGGACATTCTTTTGAAACTAAGCTCCTACTATGATCCATTCTTGAGGTGTTTTCCCACAAATAAGGCCAGTGGGTGTTTGCTCTGAACCACCCATACCTTCCTGATTCCAGTCTGCCCCTTTTAGCCCCAAAATAGCATGATCTGCATCTTCATGGTAGTAGACAAGCAGATCTGTGGCTATAAAAGGTATTTTTTTTCCCTTTACAAAACAAATTACATTCTTGGTCTTAAAAGCAACATACTCAAAGCAAATAAATGCCCTAAGATATGTGACCTATTCAGAAGACAAATGTCACACTAACATCTTGAAATAGAAAAGAAAACCCCTGTTAATAGATATGTTTCTTCTTGACTACACTGAATTTGAAGATCTTTGGCATGGTCACTGATAAATGTATCACAAAATTACTTTCAAAAAGAACAGATGATCAGAGGAAAATATTCACATAGTGAACTTAAAACGTATACAAGAACACGCATCAGGCAATACCATTCCTCTGCCCCTTCAATTGCACTGATCCAGTCATCGTGGAACATGCATTGCTCTGGCTGAGGTGCAGTGTACTTCTCCACGTACTCTAACTCCACAACCTCTTCCTAGTCACAGAGAGAAACCGAAATCAATTAGGTGGGGCAGTTTCTGGATGGTACCTTATGAAGATATAGGACCCCTAGTTTAATTTATCTCCTTCATGTAATTTCCTTTCATAATCTAGAAATTTTGGAGCCACACAAAAGGTGAAAAACTTTATTTGATCTAACAGTATGCTAAGAGTAAATGTTAAGAAATATTAATGACCTTAGAAACATGTTAAAAGTGGAAAAAAAGAACACAAGAAACTTTATAAAATCATAAAAGCGTATCTTTAACAGGTAGAGAGCTTCCATTTACGATGAAAAAGTTCTGGAAATGGATAATGGTGATGGTTGCATAATACTGTGAATGTACTTAATGCCACTGAACTGTACACTTAAAAATGGCTGAAAGATAAATTTTACATATATTTTACCACAGTTTCAAAAACTGCCCCCAAAATTATAAATGCAAGTATAAATTACATTTTAAATTATAAAAGCAATATTAAGAAAGTTCAAAAATTACAGGGGGAAGTCACTATAACAATAACCTAACTCGTAAGTTTATTATGTGCACAATAGTTTTATACACCATTAGCTATTCCCTTTCTTGACAATTCTTCCACAATTAAGAAGGTATCTTTCCATGTTCATTCATCTGCATTTCTTGAATATACTCTCAGAAAAAAAGAGGGGATTTCAAAATTGAATATACAGAAACTGAAGTTCCTATTTCTAGGGAAAACAGTAATGGAGAGGATCTTGGCTCCTGTAGATAAAGGCTGATTCTCAAAGGAGTTTTCCTACATTATCTGGTAATACCTTAAGTAAAATAGAGCAGGTAAGCATTTGAACTTACTGATGAGATGTTTTCCAGTTCCATGTGTTTGACCAAAGGCATTCGCAGAAACTGGCCCTTGATAAGGAAATCAAACTCCACATGTTTGTGGAACTCTAAAGAAAATACACAACAAAACTATCACTCTTAGAACCTGAAGTGGTATTGGCAGAGCTAAATGAGAGACCCCCCAAACAAACAGGTAACTATTACTCCAGTGTGGCCTCCACATTTCTCCAGAATTTCTCCATGGCACAATCAGGCCATGTATTCCAGTACACTATGTGATTTTGAAGAACAGAAATACTTTGTTCTGTCAGTATAATATTTTTATTGTTGATAGTGCAATTATTTCAACTGCAAGGTTTTATTCTGAGGGAAATTTCAAATATATAACAAAAGTAGAAATAACATAATGAATCCTCATCCTCATTGTTCTGGCAGCTCAGGGACAATCACCTATACTCTTCCCTTCACTTTCCTGTTGGTTTATTTTAAAGCAAACCTCAGAAATGATATAATCTCTGTAAACACTTTAGAATGTATCTCTAAAATATAAGGACTTTTAAAAAGTCACAATGTTAAAAATTTAATAATTATTCCTTTTAATATCAAATAGCCAGTCAAAGCTCCCATTTCCTTGTTTCATAAATGTCTTTTTACAGTGAGCTTTTCAGAATCAGTATCCAAAGTCCACATATTATATTTGATTAATACCTTTTATATTTGATGAATAGGTTTAATAGTTCCCTTCTTTTTTTTCTCCTTGCCATTTATTTGCTAAAGAAACTGGGTCTTCTGTTTTGTAATATTTCTTACATTCTGGCTTTGGTAGACTACATCTTCGAACTATCCTTTAACATGTCCCTCTACCACCTACATACAACCTGTACATTAGACAGACCTAAATGATTGATTAGATTTCAGGTTTGTTTGTTTTGGGCAAGAATATGGAGACTCATATACTAAAGCATTGTATACTTGTCACCCAACTTCAACAATTATCAAGTTATGACCAATCTTGTTTAATCAATACTTTTGCATACATAGTTCATAATAATTTTATGGGCTAAAATTTATACTCATATGATAGCATATGTTTAATGTGCTATTTATATATTTATATCTTTATAATGTTTTACTTCATACTCTTGCATGTTTATAAAGGTTTGTTTTACCCATTAATTTTTAAATGAATTTTAAACACTTAAATAAAACACTGGTATTAATATTTACATTTGTTATTACATAAAAAGAATACTCAAACACAGATACTATCATTTTGTTTTGTAGAACCATAGCACCTGGGGCCCAAGCACCGAGATGCTTGTTCTATGCCTACCCCACCTAGTCCTCACGGTGTCTTGATTACTTCTACATCACAACTATTATACTAAAATCTTTACTCGTAAATCTCAACCATCTTATCTCGATATTACCCTAAAAGCATATTAAATCCAATATTTTTCCCTGAAAACTTATTTCAAAGCATTTTTCAAAGTGTCATGTAGCAGGGAAATCTATGTTATAATTCATAAATTTTCCTGTTATAAAATGCATGAGTATTATAAAATAAGACCAAAAACGGAAGTAAAATAACAGTGTGATGTATGTTAGTCTAGTTAGTGACACTGTGCCCCACTCCTAACTTCTCAGAGTACATACACTCACCATTTTTGGTCTCCAGCAATTTATTGATGATGTTACTAAGGTCAGCAATTTCAGAGGCTGCGGGGATCGAGAAGGGAACATCATCCACTGCGTATCTATAAAGAGGAAATTGTATGTCTAGGTCAAATCTATGGATATTTTAACAAATGTGCATAATTCATTCAACAAACATTTCCTGGGTATCTAATACATGCCAGACATTCTGCTATATGAGGTTAACAAAAATGAATTAACCATGGTCTCTGTTCTCAGAAAGGGTTAGTCTGATAATCAAATAAAAGAAAACTATGTAAGAACAATGTCATAGTGATATATAAAATGAGAGAACAAAGAAGTCGTTTCAACCAGAGAAAAGAGGAATGGGAGAGCAGACTCTGAAAGGATGCATGAAAGAGATCACTCTTAAGCTACATTTAGAAAAGTGAGTTTCTGCTAGGTGAAGGGGGAGAAAAGAAGAAGGGGTGCAGGAAAGCAGGGAGAGCAGCAAAAAATTAGCTAAGAGTTATTAAACTGCCCACCCAGCTTATTCCAGAAAATGTTATTGTACTCTGGACAGTGACCAATGATAAGAGATATACATGGAGTGGTTTAGATACTGTGTGAAGTACTTTTTGCTTCTTTCCCTAGGTAATGAGGAGCCATTGTCAAAGTTAAAGAAAAACCATCAGAATTTTGTTTAGTTAGATCCTTCTTAGCAGCACTGTGGAGACTGGATTAGAAGCACACAAGACAGGAGGCAGATTAAGAAACTTGTAAGAAAGAATGGGAGAAAATACTTGCAAATCATGTATCTGATAAGGCAATTTGAATCTAGAATATATAAAGAACACTTAAAACTCAATAATAAAGACAACCCTGTTTTTAAAATGGGCAAAGAATTGAAATAGACATTTCTCCAGAGAAGATTTACAAGTAGCCAATAGGCGCATGAAAATACGCTAAATATCACTAGTCATCAAGGAAATGAAAATTAAATCACAATGAAATATCATTTCATACCTACTAAGATGGCTACAATAAAAAGACAGATATTAAATGTTAGTGATGATGTGGCAAAATTAAACCCTTATTCATTGCTCATAGGAATGTAAAATAGTACAGTTGCTTTGGAAAAATCTGGCAGTTCCTTAAAAGCTAAACATAGAATTACCATTTGACCCAGCAACTCCAAAGTTTATACTCAAGGGAAATGAAAGTATATATTCACACAAAGACTCGTTCATAAATGTTCACACCCTACTATTCATAATAGCCAAGAGGTAGAAACAACCCAAATGTCCATCAACTGAACAATGGAAACACAATGTGATATATCTATACAATGCAATACTATTTTGCCATAAAAAGGAATAAAGTACTGATACATGTTACAGCATGGATGAACCATGAAAATATCATACCAAATGAAAGAAGTGAGTCACAAAAGACCATATACTTGAAATGTCCAGAACAGGCAAATTTAGAGATGGAAAGTAAATTAGTGATTGCTTAGGGCTGGGGGGATTTGGAAGGATTTGGAGGGGGGTAGGTAATAGCTAAAGGGTGTTGAAAAATGTTCTAAAATTTTGTGGTGATGGCTGCACAACTCTGCAAATACACTCAAAACTACTGAACTGAATGCTTTAAATGTGAGAATTCTATTGTATGTGAATTGTTATCCACAACCAGTAAAATTGGTTACCCAAAACCAAACCAAAACAAAAAAGTCTCTGAATTAAGACTGTATTTGTGGGGAATGGAGAAGTTTCAAAAAATGTTAAGGTAGAACTTACAGGGCTCACCAAAACATGCCACAATATGTATCTCTTTTTGCCACAATTGGGGGTGGAAAGGTGGTGGCTGGGGCTTCAGATCTTGTTAAAATGAAGACTCTAACTCAGTAGGTCTCGGGTAGAGTCTGAGATCTGCTTTTTCTAGCCAGCTCCCAAGCGATGCTGCTGCTGCTGTGTGATACCACACTTTGAGCAGCCAGGTTACAGTTGTATGTTTATCATGCGCAAAAAGATAAGCAGTTATTTAGGTTCTCCAAAAGGTAGCAAACCCTAGAAATTAACAGTTTTGGTTTACTATTTTGGCTAGTAAAATGAGGGAAGAAAAGCAGCATAATATACTTACATATGTACATTATACATACATATGTGAATAAATCTATTCCCCCCCCTCATTTTATTGATCAGAACATACGCGGAAGGAAGAAGCAAGAAGTTTAATTTTCAGGTTTGGTTATCTTTTTGGAAAATCTAACATATATACATACGACATTTATCTGTTTATCTTAGGGTTAAAATACAGCGATCTATTATTTCTTAAAACTTCATGTGAATCAACAATAACCTCCACAAAACTGTCAAATGGAAAAAATACAGTGGTCATGCTACTGTAATTCACCATATTCCTGGAGAAGTATTTAGACTAAGTATACATACTCATATGTATTGATAATACAATTTGTGTATACTGTAAGCAACAATACAAGAGGAGTGACTATGACTTACCACGTCAACCCATAAAGTTACAAACATGGAATAAAAAAATGTAACCTCCATTGAGGTGGGAGTTTTCTAGTTTACGGCTGACATTAGCTCGTTAATACAACAGACATTTATCATCAGTACCAGAAGAACCTGACAAACATTTGTTGCCTCAGTCAATCCAATAAGTTTAATACACAGTCCCCACCATCGAGACTTACAATATAGATGAAAAGACCAAACACAAAGTTAATTAGTAGTGTAATATACGCCACAAGGCAGAATATAATTAGGTTTCAAATGAATGCTACATACTTGGGGCCCAGTTGTAAAGTTGATAAAAATGTTTGTATATACGTACAGGTGTACATACAGATATATATGTGTGTATTTGTATGTATATAAATACACAAATCTGTAACCGAACTGACTTCACATTCTTATCAAAAACCAGTTCTACCAACCCTCTTGAAAGCTCCACTTTCCAGTCTGGTTTAGAAAAGCGTCGTCTATCACCCACTTTAGGAAACGAAGTTGTGTTTTCAACACTGTAACATCACTAGCAGACGTCCTGTAACGACTAGGTCCATTGTTCATTATTCAATTACATAATGCGTTTCATGCAAGAAGCAAACCTGAAGCCCTTCAGGCCTCTCTACACTCATAAATCAAATTATTTAGAGCCTGAGAAGCTAGGCAGGAGGGATCGGCGACCCCTGAGAAATCCTGGCAAGGTACTGCTTTCCACTTGAGTGGAAAATGCGTTCGACTGAATCCAGTGAAAAAAAAAGGGAAAAAGTGAACTGACGGCGAAGACAACCAGGGATGTACAAGGTCATATCGAAGTGGTCGTTTTAAAGTATCCCGGTGGGGGAGAGGAGGGGACAGAAAAGGAGTACGCGTACTTACTTCTTGTTGTCAGTGAAGAAGCGTGTCTGGAGCTGAGCCATGGCTTGCCTGCAAAATACACCAGACTTCCCTACATAAATGCGTGGGGTAATAAACAACGAGCGCTCTGGTCTCTAAGGACTACAAAAAGAAGCAGCTCAAAATTAGACTGCACGTGTGAGAAAACGCTGCAGTCGAACTGCCGGCTTCCGCCTTCCCTCCTCCGGCGGCCTCAGCAGGAAGACACGGCGAGGCAGCCCTCCCACAGGCCCAGCCCACAAACATCAACTACCTATTCCTCGATTTAGGAGTCATCGATTAGTAAGCATAATCTTAAAGGCGGCGTGTCCCTTTACTCTGTCTGGGTTTTTTAAAATATACTTAAGCTTGTGATCGATTACGAATTTAAGTAAGGCCTGATCCAGAACTACTTCTTCACCCCCTCCCCGGCTTTTTTTTTTTAAATTTTATGAGACTGTCCTTAGATCCGATCAGTCAAACGCAGCTCCTGGATACTACAAGCCCCAGAAAGCAGCGCTTCTCAGACGCTGTAACCATTGGTAATTGTAGTCCTTTTTTTGCCACGCTGCCCTCAGGATATCTTATTTGCATTAAACCTTCCCGACTCCAGCCGAAAGCTACTTTATTGCCTCTCCCTTCAGCTTTAATTTACTAAAGGCTTTTGGGGTTTATTTTCTCAAGCATCTCCCAATCAGGCTGACAGTCCGCCGAGATTTTTCTTGGGCTCTCGCCACTAACTGCAGGTTTTAGATCCAGGTGGGAGGCGGGGATACGAGAAAAGGGCGAATCAGAAGGGAAACAGGCGACGGTGGCCGATAGTGGTCTTATCTCAAGCGACTGCGCTGCGCGCTGCGGCAGCGGTGCGCCTGCGCACTGTGCTGGTCTCCATGGCGGGGCCTCGGAGCCAAGACGAGGTTGAGTAGACTCGTTTTGAATTTTCTCCCCTCTGCTCCAGCACTTTGTGGACTTCCCTCCTCGCCCTGTAGGGCACTCGGCTGCGGCAGGACTGGGGGAGTCGGAGGTTTGGCAGAGCTGTCTGCGCCGACAGACCAGACGCTACCTCCCAACCCCCCTTTCTTCCTGCTGCCTCCTCCTCCCGTCACCTCCTGACCCGCCTGGTCCCCGAGCAACCGCCGGCCCCCGCCCCCTGCCGCAGCCGGGCTCTGGTGGCGCCTTCTGCTCCCTGCCTCGGGCCCTTTTCGGGACCCCACAGGACAAGGCCTGCTGCCCCTCGCCCGGGACGGGGGTCTGCGGGCCCCGGGAAGACAGGCTGGAGTTGGTGGAGGTTAGGGTCTTGAGGGTTGCTCAGCCCAAGGACGCGCCACCGCCGAGGAGGATTCGGACCCCCGGGCGGCTGTGCCCGGTGTGTGGTCCTATGCGCAGCCTCTGGCCCCGCTTTTTAGGGTTCTTTTTTTCTCTTTATGAGCGCCTTTGTATTTTTTTTTTTTTAAGAAAGAGAAAGGCATCCTCCCACACCTCCTACGCTTTTTGAGGTTTTTGTTTTTGTTTTTTGGTCTTAAAGTTACCCAAAGGCCTATGTCTTATTCTCAAATAGTCCTGAGAATTCTAGTGGAATTTAGTTTTTCTGAGGGAGGATGGATGGAGAGATATTATCCAAATCTCGTAGTCGCTTTTTAAGGCGTTCATCAGAAATACTCCAAGAGGGGGACCTCAAAAAACAGCAGTTTAGAGTCAGGCACAACTGGATTGCAAAATTTGTGGGCAAAGCGGTATGTGTGCAGGTGAAGATAACTAAAGCTTTCCTTTGTTACGGTGCTAAAAGATGTACTACGATTAAGTAGACACCTGATATTTGAATCAGCCATAGACTATCAGAAAGGATTCAAACAGTTATAAGCTAGAAATAATCTGTTGTTAGAGAGCAATGACAATGAAATTAATACTATTTTAAGTTTACTCACATTAGAATGCGGGCGGTAGAACCCGAATGCCTGGGTTTGAATTTTGCCTTAGCTATTTATTTTTTAACTTCTCTGTGCCACACCGTGGTCAACTGTGAGGTTAAGTACCACATAGTAAACGCCAACTATTATTACCAGTTTTCCTTTACGTGTCAGTTTAACTAGAAGCTTTGCCAACAGGAACAAGTAGGAAAGACAAGTCTCATGGTTAGACGAATAAAATGAGAAAACCTCTGTGCTCAGTGCCTAGAAAAGAACTGGGCTTGCCAATAGCAACAGTGGTCGTTTAACCATGTGATTCATTGTAACTGTGAGAATTGTATGCATTAGCTAGACCACCTGAACTTGAAACTGTGTTCATTGAAGACTTGCTGTTTAATCCACATTTTTTGGATTTGGTAGAAGTGAAAGAAATTTGACAGTTTCAGACATCATTCACCTTTAATCATAAGTGATTTTTGAGTTACAGGAGTAAGGTCTGAATGAAAATTCATAGAACCTGGAATAGATGTAATAGGTTCTTTTTCAGATAATTTTTAATTGATAATATATCATTGGTGAAAAATATTTTTAAATGTGTTGTTAATAGATTAATTCATTTTTCTTATTAATTTGAAATCTATTAAAATAAGAAAATATACCTGATAATCAATACAGGTTGATCCTAATTTGAAAAGAAAAATATGATCAGTAAAATACAGAACCTAAATACGTGTTTAATAAGATAAACTTCAGTTTGCAAAGCAGAAGTGTTGAATTCACTGAAATACGTTTTTCATTAGAGAACTTTTGTTAAGGGAAACTTAGTTAACAAGTGTTCCAAGATAACCTGGACTTCTACTATGATGGCTTTTTTTCTAACGTGGCTTATGTGTTGTGTTTGGTATTCCCTCCATGTGATACCTACAATAGTTAGTACTTTTACCTTGCCTGTGTTTCTTAGAACGTTAACTTCAAGCTTTTGGTTCTAATGATTTCCTACATGATTTTGTTTACTTTGGTCCTTATGAAGACACATTATTATCCAGAGAACCACAGCATGGGAAATATGTTTCTCTTTAATATAGGTTTATTTTTTTTCCATATATGATGACATGGTGTGGTATGATATAAAGACTATACATGAGCTTTGGAGTCCTAATTGGCTTTTGGTGACTTTTTCCTACTTAGTTTTGAATCTGAACTCTAATGTTCTGTGATCTTAAGTTATTTGGCAGCTTTGATTTTCTTATCTATAAGTAGAGATAATAAGATCTACTTCAGAGTCATTGTGAGGATTAGATGAAATAATTTGTAAATCCCTCAAAGAGCAAAAAGATAAAAAGAGGTATGTATGTGCAGGGTAAGAAATGGGTAGAAACCAAGATTACAGGGAAGTTTATAGAGAGGACAAACCTTAGAGAAAAGAGATATTGTGAACACTGGCCTTAAAGTTTTTTCACTGAAAAAGGAAAAGTTAAAGTAGATTGTTTGTTGTTTATATGTATTTGCATACATTTAACATTTTGATGCTGATTTAACACACTATACTTTCTTAAACCCATCTTTTAAAAAATAAATTGTTCTACAACATATTTGTGAACTAGGAGTCTTGATTTAATTTTTGACACTGCTGATTCATAGCAATTTTGTATACATCATAAAAGGAGCATTGTATTGTTCATCCTAAAAGGTGAGGGAAATTTTATTTTCTAAAGTACTTTTGAGCAGTATTTTTAAATGTAATTAATAAGGTCAGACACTGATTTTAAATATAAGATTTCAATATGCTTTAAATCTTGAGACACTAGCCAAGGTACCTAGAATTAAGAGATATTCTAAAAGTTTTCAAAAGTTTTCATCCTTCAATTATCCTGTTTGGGGATTTACTCTTAAATTATTGGTTTTAATGGAAAAATTTTACCATACAAAAGTCTATAGGGAAAACTGAACAAAATAATCAAATATTAAGGTAATTTTAAAAGAAATTATAGCTGAGAATTACCTCTAATGTTTTGAACAAATATATTTGCTGTTGAACAAAATCGAAACAGCAGTAGCCCCAGTATGGTCCACAGAAGCTTTGAGTAACTACAGTCTGAATAATGTCTTCCCCTCTGCCCCTTTTCCCTATAAATTAGAACATCGAACTTTTAATTTAACAGTTTCTTCCTAATCTTTGCTTTTGATATAAGGTAAAATCCACTTTTTAAAGTGTGATGTAAAACATTCTAGAAAGCAGTTTGCCGACAAAATTTGTCTTAGTGTATGTTATGAAGTCCAGTCATCATTAACTCTCTAGATGACATATTTAATACTTTCTCTTTTCTTTCTGTTCTCTTTGTCCAATCCCAATACTACGTACTTAAGACATATGCTTATCAAATTCCAGGATTTTGTAAGTGGAGTGTGGGGAGGGGGGCCCTTGTCACAAACTTCTGTGGCTCTGAAATATCTCCGATTAGTAAATATTTTCATTGTGGAGACAAATGCAATTTACTGTGGAGTTCTTTGTTTCTGTAATAATTATACAATGTGAAAGTTGAAACAAAGCCTTAGTCCAAATCCCTAATTTTAGGTAAGGAAACCAACACAGAGAAGTTAAGTAACCCCTGGACACACTTAGTCTTCCAGAAATAGTCTTTAGTTTACTTTAACTGTGTCAATTGGTGGTTCAACTATACCAGGCTAGTAATGGCTGTTTTATGGTAAAATCTGCATAACAAAGTCTAGTAGCTTTCTTTATGTGTAGAAAAATAAATATACATTGAATATATTCTCATTACAGAAAAAAATGCTGCTGTGAAGACATAATTACAGTTTTCACATAAATGAAGCACAGCTATCATAATTCAGTGCACCAAAAAGGAAGAACTTCAATGGAAAAGAGTGCATTTCTGGGGATAATAGAATGCTTGAGGCCTGAATTTAAACTGGAGCTGCTGCCTAAAGGTAATAATTGTATTTTTAACTAATTGAAGGTAATTAGCTGTATAAAAGTTAACTATTATCTACTACATAGTAATGAAAATGTCACAATATGCTTTGTATGTAGGTACTTTGTTCTGTTTATGGTTACCAGTTGGAAAAGAACATTTTATACCTAGCTGTTTGATTTTAGTGTCTTCATTCTTTAAAACTTTACTTTGACATAGTTAATTGAAAGTTCGGGGTAATAATTTAGAGCATGTGCTGACATTGAGGTTAGATGGGAAAATTGGGTATTTTAAGTCACCCTACAGTTAGCAGGATTGAGGAGTATAATGCAGGTTGATGGAAGAATTAGGGGAGGAAGGAGTAATTCTTTTCACTTCATTCAAATTATTTTTTGTAAAGGATGTCTGTAACTTAAAAATGTACTTTTAATCTCCAGTTCAGCATCACTTTGGTCAACAGATGTTGAAACCCACTTTTCCATATAGTAACCACAAAAAACCTTGTTTATCCCGTAGTATAGACATACTGCATACTGAAAGGAAAAATTTGAGTTTTGTGTTCCCAGAAAGTAGTAGGAAAAGAAGTTATCTTTCTTCCATTGGCAAAATCCCAGTATGGGCAAAGCTCTGAAATGAGTGGTTTATGTGCAGCAGTCTTGCTGTGTTACCACCCAACCCTGTCGCTAGTGCACTTCCCCAGGGCATTCCTCCTGCCCTCCCTCTTCACTGCAGCATCTAAGCTCAGGCCTACTGAATCCCTTTTGAGTACTCTGAGCCTCAAGTGTACTTGCTTTCTCACCTCCAAATTAAACTTCTCAAAGTAGCTCTTTTTAACTCATCTTAAAGGAAAAAAGCTATCCTTATATAAATTTACACAGATTTGTTAATGACTGACAGTCTCTTGAGAGTTTTTTTTTCTTTTTAAGAGAAAATGCTTATTAACGGCAATGAAAATTTCACTGATAAAGTTTCAGACAGGATAAGAGAAAGTAAGTAAAATGAAAAAAATTTAGATCAGTAGCGGTAATTTGTAATGGAATCAGGGCACCTGTTAGGAAACTGAGAGCAAGTTTTTATAATTTTTTCCCCTAAGCTGTTTTCACTTTTTACCTCTCCATCCCAAGATCCCTTTTAGGTCTGTCTACAGAATGTTTTCTCAGTGGCTGCAATTCTGCGTAGTTAGAACTCCAGCTTTTTCATGGGGTCAGGGATCTGTAGATTGCTTGCAGGTGTGCTTTTCTGTGTTAGGGACTGCCTGTAATAAATCTCAACCTGGAAGAGTAGAGAACAAAAATGAACAAAGAATTTCTTTTAGCATCTTTAATTTGTTAAGCTATCCAAAAACAAACAAACAAAACAAAACTTAAAAGCCATGACTAATGAAGGAAGGAGGGAGCTTTGTTACCTTGAAAGAGTTCCTATTGTAATAGTAAAGAGTGAATTTTGGAATGTTCTTGCTCAGCCACCTAGTATATTTGTCATCTTTGGAAAGTTACTTAATTGCCTGAGTCTTATTTCCTTATATGTAAATTGGAGCAAGTAACTGAAGTACAGGTTTGTTATATTAAATGGATTAAATAAAGCGACATATATAAAACACTGAGCATAGTGCTTTACTATGATAAGTGCTCAATAAGTGAATGATAACCTTATAACCTTGAGCAGTGAGCCTGTTTCCTTTTCTGTAAAATATTGATAATAGGTCCTAGAATAGCAGTGTTAATAATTCTAGTTAGTAATTATTAAGTATAATAAGCACTCAGTGAACATTATTTTGTAGCTATGATAAATAACATTTATAATCTTCATATATTTCATCATAATAGTGCTTATATTTAAAAAACAAAATTAGGCATTATGCTGTACACCAGAAATGGACACATTGTAGCTGACTATATAAACTTCAATTTAAAAAATCGTATATTAAAAAAATTTAAAAGTCTCAAAAATATTTGTAATCTTAATATCATCATGTTTAGATAGCATTTCAATATATTTTACTATAAAAAATTAAATTGTATCCTATTTTTAAATTTATTGAAGTGTAGTCAGTTTACAATGTATCGATTTCTGGTGTACAGCATAATGCTTCAGTCATACATATACATGCATATATTTGTTTTCATATTCTTTTTCATTATAGGTTTCTACAAGAATTGAATATGGTTTCCTGTGCTATAAAGAAGAAATTTGTTTACTTTATATAGCAGTTGATATCTACAAATCTTGAACTCCCAGTTTAAATTGTATTCTTGACAACAGTTATTTCAGTTTTAGTAAGTCCCTCAGTAGGATTTTATTTTCAGTTGGATCTAACTTTGTAGAAGTTTTCTCTTTGAATAGAGGTTTTTAAAAATTTTTATACTCAGTCTACATTAGAAGTTAGTCAATAAACAATAGTTAAATGAATTTTTAAAGTCATCAGAATAATCAACTATTAGAAACATAAAATCTTAGAACTGATGGGATCTTTAAAGAACCAGGAATTTAAGTTTAGAGAAGTTAATAATTTGGGGATTTTCATCAAATCTAGGCTGAGCCCTTGTTCTTTCTCTACTATATTTATCAGATGTGTGAATTTTTAAACCAGACAGTAATACTGAAATAGAGCCGTAGTCATCTAAAATGTAAATTTTTTTCTTACAATTTTTCATTTTTTTCAAAGACAGTATATTTAGAAGCTTTATACTAAGCCCAGGTAAGTTTTGATTACATCAGTGAAATGACTGGTGTTTTTTGCTCTTAAGAACCAAAGGATTTATTTATAAATAGGTGAAATTTTGACCTTAGTTTGCATTATTATAGGTAGTAAAAATAATTTATTGAGCACTGACTTGTACTAGGAACTGCACCGAGCCTTTTGCATACATTATTTTATTTGACCTTTATAACAACTGTATGAGGTAGATGCAGTATCACGGCCAATTTGCAGAGGAGAAAACTAAAGCTTGAAGTAATTAACTAATTTGACAAGTAAGTATAAAGCTGAAATTCAAACCCATACCATATGACTACAGAACACTGTCTTCAAGTATTTTATACAATTTTACTGATAACCTTCTCAGCTTGTATTTTAAAAGATGACGAAAAAATAGTATGTTTTCATGTCCACCCTATCTCCAACATTGTCCCAAGTATGGTAACCTAACCAAAAATTTGAAGTTAATTTTGAAGTTCGTATACTATGATTTGTTATTGGCTTTAGTAGTGTCTGTAAGACAGTGTGATTGCTTTTTTCTTTTTTTAACTAAAGATTTTTTTTTTTAAGAAAGTTTTAGGTTTACAGGAAAATTGAGCAGGTAGTACAAAGATTTCTTCCTTCCTTTCTTTCATATTCCTTCCCCTAACTTCATACCACTCCCTCCTAGCACATAGCTTTCCCTATTATTAACATTTTGCCTTAGTATGGTACATTTTCTTAAAGTTAGTGAACCAATATTGATACATTTTTATGAACAGGAAGTCCATGGTTTACATTAAGGTTCACACTTTGTGTTGTACTGTTTTATGAATTTTGACAAATCATGTCATGTATCCACCTTTACAGTATCATAAAGCATTATTTCATCACCATAAAAATCTCCCATGCTTCATCTATATGAACTCCTACATCCCAACTGGCAACTCTGGCAACTACTGATCTTGTCTGTAGTTTTGCCTTTTCAAGAATGCCATGTATTTAGAATTATACAGTATGCAGCCTTTCAGAGTGGCTTTTTTCACTTATCGGTATACATTTAAGGTTTCTTCATGTCTATGTGTGGCTTGATAGCCTATTTCTTTTAAATCACTGAACAATAATTCATTATATGAATATATCAGAGTTTACCCTTTTACTTATTGAAGGACATATTGGTTGCTTCTAAGTTTCAGCAATCATGAATAAAGCTGTTATAACTACCCAGGTACAGGTTTTTGTGGAACATAAATTTTCAACTCATTTGGGTAAAGGCCTAATAGTACAGTTGCTGGATTGTATGGTATGCCTATAGTTAACTTTGTAAAAGACTGTCGAACTATCTTCCAAAGTGGCTGTACTGTTTTATATTCCAGGCATCAATGAGTGAAAGTTCCTATTGTTCCACATTTTTGCCAGTATTTAATAAATTTTTTAAAAAATATTAGTCATAGTAATAGGTGTGTTATGATATTTCATTGACGATTTATTTTGCAATTTCCTAATGACATATAATGTTGAGCATCTTTTCGTACACATAATTGCCACGTGAATAACTTCTTTGGTGAAGTGTATCTTCAGGTCTTTTGACCATTTAAAAAATTTTTAAATTGGGTTTTCTTTTTCTTGAATTTAAAGAGTTCTTTGCATATTTTGGATACAAATCCTTTATCAGATACATATTTTATAACTACTTTCTCCCAGTTTGTGGCTTTTCTTCTCATTCTCTTGATACTGTCTTTTGCAGAGCAGAAGTTTTTAATTTTAATGAAGTCCAGCTTATCAATTATTTCTTTCATGGATCATACTTTTGGTATTATACCTAAAACATCATTACTATACTCAAAGTCATCTAGGTTTTCTCCTATGTTATCTTCTAGGAGTTTTATAGTTTTGCATCTTACGTTTAGGTCTTTGATCCATTCTGAGTTAATTTTTTTGAAGGATGTAAGGTATGTATCTAGATTATTATTATTTTTTTGCATATGGATGTATGTTTTTTCCAGCAACACTTGTTAAAAAGACTGTCCTCTATGGGATATATGGGCATATATGCTTTTATTTCTCCCAGGTAAATACATAAAATGGAATGGCTGTGCCATATGGTAGGTACATGTTTAACTTTTTAGAAAACTGCCAAAGTGATTCTCAAAAGAGCATATACTGTTTACATTACTGTCAGTAATACGTGAGAGTTCCAGTTGCTCCATGTCCTCAGGAACATTTTATACAATATCTTTTTAATTCTTTTTATTTTATTTCTTTAATTGAAGTACAGTTTGTTTACAATGTTTATGTCTTTTTAATTCTAATTTTTATAATAAATGTATAGTGGTATCTCATTGTGGTTTTAACTTTCATTTCCCTAATGACTAATGCTGTTCAGCATCTTTTCATGTGCTTATTTGCTAGCTGCATATCTTTTTTTTTTTAACCACCTTCACCCATTTCTTCCATCTTCAACCTCTTGCATCTGGGAACTGACTAGTCTATTCTCTGTATTGGTGAGCTTTTGTTTTGTTTTTTTTTAGATTCCAGATATGAGAAAGATCATATGGTATTTGTCTTTCTCTAGCTCTCTAGCTAACTGCTTGTTTTCTGTAGTGAAAGGTTTATTAAAATATTTTGCCTACTTTTTATTGGGTTGTCTTATAATTGAGTTGAAAAAGTTCTTTGCAGAGCTGGAACCCAGAGAAGATTTCTTTCCCAGGTATATGTTGCAAATGTTTTCTCCCAAATCTGTGATAAGCAGAAGTTTTTAATTTTTGTGCAGTCCAATTTGCAGACTTTATCTTTTATATTTTGTGCTTTTTTGTGTCGTGTTTAAGACAGCTTTGCCAAACCCAAGATCACAAAGAGTTTTCTCCTGTTTTCTCCCCTATATATTCCTAGTGTATAGGAATGGAACTGAGTTTTGCATATTGATCTTGTATCCTATGTAACTATTGAATTTCTAAGTTAATTCTACTAGTTTTTTATGGATTCTTCAGGATTTTCTATATGTAAAACCATGTCATCTGTGAATAGAGATGAGGATACAATTATTCTAAGTATTCTTTCATAATCCTTTGGATTTCTGGTAGTAATGTCTTTATTTTCATTTCTGATTTTAGTTATTTGTGTTTTCTCTCTTTTTTTAATTGTCAGTCTAGCTAAAGGTTTGTCAGTTACACCAATCTTTTCAAAGAACCAAGTCTTAGATTCCATAATTCTGTTGTTTTCTATTCCTAATTTTGCTTATCTCCCGGCTACTCTTTATTATTTTCTTTCTTCTTCTAGATTTCAGTTTAGTTTGCTCTTTTTTTTAAGGTGTAAAATCAGGTTATTATTTTGAGGGTTTTTTTTTTAAAGGCATTATTGCTCTAAATATCCCTCTGAGCACTGCTTTTCCTGCATCCTATAAGTTTGGATATACTGCGGTTATCTGTCATCACCCACTTCTGAGTTACTGATTTTATTTAGTTCTCCAGTATTTTATTTCTATCCTTAAACACACGTACACAAAATTATAATAGTGTTATTATTAGTTACACAGAAGTGTTTGTTTAGGTTTTTCATAGTGTTATTTATTTGCTTACCATTTTTCTAGCATCTCAGGACTTCCTTCTGGTATCATTTTTGTTTTCTATGTGCTTTAGAAATTGCTTTCATGTAACGTCTATTCATTGTAAACCCTCAATTTTTTTAAATCTTAAAAATGTCTTTCACCTTTTGTAAAAAAATAACTTTCAGCATATACAATTATATACTGAAAGTTACTTTTTAAATTATTCCTCCAGCTTCTACTGCCACAGTTGTTATTGAATAGTCTGATGTATATCTAATGTTAATACTCCACAGGTGATCTCTCTTTAGCTGCATTTTAGATTTTCTCTTTCCTTTTTAGAATTTTGTACATCGGGTATAGATTTCTTTTGATGTATCTGAGTACATTTTTTGCTTCCTTTATCTGTAGATTCATGTCTTCAGTTTTGAGAAATGGTCAGCCATTATTTCTTCAAATACTGTCTCTCATTCATTTTTCTATCCTTCTGAGTCTCCAGTTATAGGTATGCTATACTTTCTTATTCTGTTTTTCCTAGTTTTAAGTCTCTTCTTTATTTTTTTATATTCTGTTTTTCCTATGATGCATTCTGGGTTATTTAAAAAAATCTATCTTCCAATTTAGTAACTCTTCCTTCTGCACCTAATCTTCTATTTAATTTATCTTCTGAGTTTTTAATTTCAGCAATTATATTTTTTCATTTCTGAAAGCTGTATTTAGTTCTCTTTCAGATTAAACTTTTGATAGTCTCTTGTTGCTTGCTTATTCCTGTGATTCATTGTTTTATTTCTTTGAATATTAGTTATTTTTTATTCAGTATTACATGGTTCCAATACTGAAGTCTTTATTGGGTATCTAAATCTACTGACTTTTTTTATGATGGCTTATTTCCTTTTGTTTTTGGCACTCTTCATTTGTAAGCTTGTATTTGATTGAGCTTAATGTGAAAGGAAAACAAACCCTTAATTGGGCTGGTGTTCCTCCAAATAATAGCTTCATTTGTTCTTACCAGAAGCCAGACTACACTACTGGCCCAGGACCTTTCAGGTTCCTACTCATATTTTGGGAATTCTCCTGCCCTAATTATCCAGGCCCATTTCCCAGTCACAAAACCTAGGTATTAGCACTGCCGTTGGGGAAATTTTCCTATTTGCTTGTGCTCATCACTTAGGTTGGTTTTTATTTTTAAATTTTTTTTTTAATTGAAGTACAGTCCATTACAGTGTGTCAGTTTCTGGTGTACAGCATAATGTCCCAGTCATGCATATGCAGACATATATTTGATCACTGAGGTTTTAGATCACAGCTGTTGCATTTTTTTGGGAGGGAGGAGGCCATAGAGGAGGTCACGGAGTGGCCTCTGATTTTTGTTCTTTCTATAGCAGCTCCCAGCCACAAAATAAAGATTTTGTTTTATATCAACTTTCTATTTTTTGTCTCTAGCAAGAGAGCCTTCTACATATTGCCATTAGTGAACTTTATTTTTTAAACTCCTTCTAAATGATATTAAGTAATATACATATAGTGTAAAAAATTCAAAACAGTAGTGAAAGTTATAAAATTACTCTTTTATAGCCCTAGAGGTAACTACAGGTTTTTGGAATTTTTGTAATACATTAAATTAGAGTAAAAGTGATAACTTAAAATCTTAAAAGAAAAGCAACTTTAATATATTTTATAGTTATATATTAAAAATAAGATTAATTGCATAGCCTATTATAATTTATATTTAAGTAGAATTATTTATAATACTAAAAAATATAAAATAGCAAATAGATTTTATGAAACCTTATAGGTTAATTTTACAAATGTATGTGCTTTTTTGGGGGAGGGGAGTGAAGTAATTAGGTTTATTTATTTTATATTATAAAGTTTTCAGTGGTATTCTTTACCAATTTCATTTTTACTTTAATTTTGAGACATAAAACATCTCAAAACTCTTTAGATCATGCAGAACCCAATTATCAGTATAAAATACTGGGCCAGGGTTTTTAATCTCAGGACCATTGACATCTTAATGTGGGGCCTATCCTGTGTGTAAAAATGTTAAGTGCTTTAGTTGATCAGACATTTAAACTTTTTCAGCTATTAAATAATAGAAGAAAATGGAACTGAATATGATATCAGCATGGAACAGTCTATTGATTCACTAAGAGTCAACCATAATGATTCTGAAGAGTCAAAAACAGATTCTCAAGTATTTCAGGTAGGGATTCAACTGGGAACTTTTTTCCATTCTAAGGGAAAACGACATGCCATTTAAAAATTTTTTATGCTTAAGTAGTGTTATATTTAATGTATTCAAGAATTTAATTTTCCACATTTCTTTCATTATTTAATTTTATAGAGCTTTTACTTAAAGTAATGTATTCATAAAAGTGTATATACAAAGAAAAATCTGTATGTTGAATCTATGTATTTCATCATTTCAGATTTCATTCCCGTGGAGATTTTGAAATAAATTGTTTAAAAATCAACAATTTCACTTAAGAAGTTCTTTCTGTCTGTATCAGTCTATGAATTGGTAACTTTTGCAAAATGTAAAGTGAATAACTGAAAAATGAATGTTTCCATTTTATTATAGACATTCTATTTTTAAAATTGTAACATTATATTTTACAAACACCCAAGTGTTTTTTTTTTCCTTTGCAAAAGCACCTAACCTGTATGGATTCCAAGGATGCTTCCATTGGACAAAATGGTTCTCCTAGAGTTTTACCCATCACCACTCATGAAGCAGATAATTCACTCACATCACGGAATATACCAGGGCCCCTGACTCAGACACAGACTCTTTCTGCAGAGCAATTTCACCTAGTGGACCAAAATGGGCAACCTATTCAATATGAGCTTCAGTCATTGGGGGATTCTAATGCACAAATGGTGAGTAGATTTTTTAAATAACCAGTTTTATGCTATTTAGCAAACTGTATTAGCCTTACTAGATGACTTTAATTTCATGACACAATTGACTCACATTGCTTTGAAAATACTATTTCCATGACATTCATTTTTAAGTTTTATAAAGATTTTAAAAGATTTCCGCTCAGGGCTACAAGTAGTACTTGAAACCGATACATTCCAGCCACTGTAGGCAAACTGGTGCTTTGAGATCAGCTGGAAATGCATCATAATCTGTAACTAGTGCTAAAGTGCCAGGGCTTACATACAACTTACAATTACTGTTTGTATATACATTTCACTGAACTCAAGGTTACAACATCTCATTTACTGATTTGCATACCACATGCTGGGGTGTGCTTTTTTGAAGAAAAAGAATGTAATGGAAGTACCAGTGGAATACTGGAAATTAGACATACCTATCTACCTACAAGGATCAGTAAGGGTATGTGTGATGTGAATAACCATGCATAAAGTTGAAAATGCTGCTTTAAACTGTTTTAAAGTTGGTCAGAAGTATTTATGACCAAGTTTGTAGTGTGAATAGAAGAGATGAAAGATGATTTTGATTAAAACTATTGAGAAAAATTTCTAAATTGTTCTTTGATTAATAATACACTTACATCAGTAATAATGTGAAGAACAATTTATCTCTCTTGTTTGCCTATATTTTCCAAATTTTCTACAATGAATATTAATTCAATAGTAAAAATTACTTTAAAAATCATAACTTCAGTTATAAATTATACCATAAATAGGCAGTCACTTAACCTAAAATTAATCCTTGTTTTGATTTCTAGTCTAGAGCATTCTAAAATTAATCTGTGTTCTTTTGCTCCCTTATAAACCAGCTAAATTTTGGGGTTGAGAGTAATTGGTTGAAAGGTGGCTAATTGTAGACGTTTTTTGTATGTTCAGACTCAGTGTATTTCTGGGCTTACTTCAGGACTGAAGTGCAAAGCAATGGTAAGCTTCTCTAACCATACTGCATCACCAGCAGGGATTAATATGCAATGAGTAATCTGAATGTGGACTAACTCATTTTAATACTTCATGCCCAGAATGAAATACTTATGTAATTTCCCCTGTTATCTGAGGTTTATTCTTGTTTCTGTCTTAACATTTAGAAAGTCTGTATGTTCCATTGGAAGGATGAAAGGATCTAAATGTGTGAAGGGTTATCATTTTACACATGATGCTTTTCTGAAAAGCACATTAAAGTTGTTTGCATCTGAAACAAGTTAGAGTTCCCAGTCTCTTTGTAATTGTATTAAACTTTCTGTATAAAGTGACTATAAAGGTGATTTTACATTGCTTGGGGTAGGAGATGATACAGAAGGTTATTTGAAACTATGAAGTAGTAATCATGTGGCATGAGCATGGAAATAAATGTAAGGAACATGGAGTGTAAGAAGGTATTGTCTCCAAAGAACCAAAGATCAAAAGTGGTTAAAAGGAGACAGACTCTTGGGTTTGAATTTCAGCTCAGGACTATATAGCTTATGTGAGTATTGTAACCAGTGTGTGACAATTTCTTTGTGTATTAAATGTATATAATTTGTATACATATGATGGGAATTAAATAGGGTAATACATGTGAAGTCCTGCTATACAGTATGCACTCAACAAATTTAAGCAGTTTTATCATCAGAGTTTAGTTATTTTTTCATGTTGAATTGTTAAGAGATATGGCAAGATACTTTTATCTCAAGAAACTTGGTAAACACTAGGGGAGGGAAACAATTTCTACTCTTAATTTCTGAGAAATATTTATGATTACATTTAAAACATTGTACATTTCTGAGAGTTTTTGTTTGTTTGTTTTTAATCCGAATTTAAAGTTTTTCAAAGACTCTTTAAAGTAAGAATGTCACCGTCTCTCTCAGGCCATCAGCAAAGTTTTCACGTTTTACATAGCAAAAGGGGAGTCTGAGAAAGTGGGTTGGAATGGTTAAGTAGAGTTACTTGCACTAGAGAAAACTGAGGACAGCGGATTTCAGGTAAAACAGTAAAACTCAGTAGGAGAGCAGTATGTTAGGTGATAAAGTTTTAAGGTGTCCAAAAAGTCTAGAAATACAGGCTAAACTTATTTTTGAATAATATGTTAGTTGTATTTTTAAATGATAGGCTTAAAATGTTTTTCTTCAAGTTCAGACCCCTATTTAGTTGACATGCCTCTGAATTTGAGGCAGTGGATTCATTTGTTAAACTGGAAAAAAAAAAGGAAATAATAAATATACAATTTCCCTATGTTTTCTGACTTTTGGAGCACTCTTTCGTATTCCTTATGGACCAAGACAGGGTATATAAAACTGCAGTTATAAAAATAAATCTTGTTTAATTAGACATCTAACAAGTTACTGTTTTTAAATGAAAATGACTTAAAATATGAGATAAATAATTACCACACAAATAGGTCAAACATGTGTGGATAATATAGTAAGTAGAAAATAGTAAATGTATTTAGTCCCGTAAGAGACTTGTTCAGATTACTAAATAATTAGACCTCACACCCATGTATGATTAAGACCATAGGTAGTTAAGGTCATAGGATATAGGGACAAATTGCCTGTTTTGAATCCTAGTTTTATCACTTATCAAGTGTGAGACTGTGGGAAAAAAATTTTGTGTACCTCAGTGTTTTCATCTGTAACAGGAGAAAAATAATAGTTTCTACTGTAGAGTTAGGCATGTCTAATAATTTTCTAAGTAATGATTTTGTTGAATCATTATGAACTTATGCATTTGGTTTTTTTTTAAATGCTTCCAAGATGATTGTTGCCAGCCCATCAGAAAATGGACAGGTGCTGCGTGTAATTCCATCTACCCAGACAGGATTGACCCAAGTGATTATACCTCAGGGGCAGCTTGTGGATGTCAGTAGTCCTCAGGGTGAGTAATAATGGGATTTAGGGGATTTGAGAATGTTTTAAAGAAGAAGTATATATATATTTCAGAAAATCACCTCATGAAAGTTAATGCTAAAATTGATCTCTTTGGGTAAGATTGTGAACTGAATAATTAGGAAAAGTTTCTTAGCCCAAATAAATTTCAAGTTCATTTTTCAACTCCTGTCTAGGTTAGCTGTCTATTTCATTTTGGAATTCTATGAAGCTGGTTGACTCTTGCTTCCTCCCAAATGACCAGTGAGCATAAAATAAATTCTTCTTAATTTTAATAACAGTAATAATGACAGCAACAATAGCAAGAATATAGTGCTAATAGCTACTGGAGAAAGGGTTACATTTGTATTTTTATCAGTATTGTTGTTAGACATGTGACATTACTTTTTATTTAACTATTCTTATCCTCTTTGCTCTTTTCCTCTTTACTTTTGTTCCTTCAGATTTAGAAAGACTCATAGGCTCTATTTTATTTTATTTTATTCTTTCCTTAACTACTTGAACATATCCCTGTTAGTATCCCTATTTCGTCTTTTTACTTTCCTTCCTTTTCTATCTATTTGAATCTCTTTTCTAACATCATAGCTACACTGTTGTCGTTTTTCATAGAAAATGACTTAGAATAGATGTTCTTTAGTGTTATGATTCTTTGTCATTGATAACAGTTGTTAAAACTTAAGGAAAAAGACATAGTTTGCAGAAAACATTATAAACATGATATAGAAACCAAAAAGAGTTTTACATTTTCCTATTATATTTGAAACTCTTAATATAACATTTATTTCTGCTAGTTTTATATCTTAGCTGTTCAATATAAGTTCCAAAACTTAATTACAAGTAGTTTAGTAATTAGTATTACAGTTTAAAAGTAAACAAGTTTATCAGAGAAATTCTGAATAAGGCATTATAAGTTTGTTATCTCTAGCTTCAGAGCATATCTTCCCTTTCCTATTTAAAATATGTGAGTTCCAGTTAATTACATTCTCATGGTCATTTTCAAGATACTGATGTTGCTTTGTTGTTATTGTTGTTAAGATGTCTCTGAAGAGAAACCCAGTGATAGAAACTTACCAGCTGTAAGAGTGGATGCTCTAGCAGACAATAACAGTGGTTACGTTCTTCATCCACAAGCATCCCTCACATTGTCCAAAAAGACGGTGACCAGGTGAGTCAGTGGGAAAGAGGAACTCATCTTCTGCTATCACTATGGAAATCTCTATTTAAATTAATATATTTAAAGCTGGCTGACTCTAGAAAAGATCAGAAATTCAGGAAATGGCGTAAACTATCATCAAATACGTCCCTAATTATTTTAATAGCATCTTGGCAGCAGGGAAGCTACTTTAGAAGCTATAAATGGCCAAGGTGCTGTTCTTCCTCAGGGATACTTGCCTGCTATCTTTTGAAGCAATCTGAAGACATCTGGCACTAATGGAGTTTTTAAAATAAAGAAACATACATTCTAGTTCCTAAAATTTTTAATTTTTCATCATATATTTATGCACTTAACTCATTTGTGGTTAAGTGTTTAAAATGTTTTTTGTTAATGTCTGTTTTTTTTGCCTTAAAATAACACTTTATAATAATTTAAGGAAATACAGACATGTGTTTTGTATTATTTGTATTCTTTTAATTTTCTATGAAAATATTTTAAAGTTAACACAGTATTTGTGACATTTAATCTTATAAATTGATAAAATAACCTGTTAACAGGTCACCTCAAGATGGTTTATTAGTGCATTTTTTGGTAAATAAAAAATAATTCTATAATGAGAAGAACACAAAATAAGCTCTGAGAGAGACATATAAAACACTTGAATTTGTTGAGACTAGGTATTTGGAAGAACAAACTTAGGCCTTTGCTTTAGCAATTGATAAAATAGTAGTAATTGAGTGCTCGCTTCTGGAGCACATATACTAAAATAGTAGTGATTGAAAAAAATCATAATTACAGTAATTAGTCCAACCTGTCATTATTATTATAGTTTCTAATTTATGACCTTGATGTTGTCTTTGACAGCGGTGAAGAGGATAAAGCAATTGAATGCTATGTGTGTGTATAACTTACATATTTTTATATTCCCCTCCATCTCATCCTGTCCCAGAATGCTTGAAGAACCCTTTTTGGCTCCACTTCAGCCACTTTCTTCTAACACACCTATCTGGGCCTGTCGTCTTAGGAGCTGTGAGGTGAGTTAAAATAATCCTTACAGAAATTTGCATAATTGATTATAACTACAGTTCATCTCAAAATGTCCATTTTGAGTAGAAGTTATATCTGTAATATTTTGTTCATGTTTGTGCTCTTATCTATTGTTTTATTCCTTACAGATTGTACTCTCTGTTAAAGCAGATTTCATGTAAATCTCTTCACATTTCACTACCATTTCTTCCCTGGCCATCTCTTTTCCCTTGTCTTCCATGAAGCTTCACTATCATATTTCTCTGCTTTTTGTCTTTTGATCTTCCTTCTCTTTCTTTGCTTGCACTTGTTTCTTTTCATATTCTCAGTGGAAATCTTCAAGATTCACCATTTGACCTTGTCCTATTTCTCTATATTTTATCCCTTGAAGAGCTTATCAATTTTGTTGACTTTCAACTCTCACTTGTATAAAAATGATTCCCAAATCTATATCACCAGTTCTTTAATTCTGCCCTTGTTCTTGTCTGAGATCTCAAGCTGCTTACTAGAAACTTTACTTGGATTTCATCTCAAATTCACCATATCCTAATCAGAAATTATCTACCATACCACAACTAGCTCTTCTTCCTAAAGTCCTTGTCTGTGTAATGACAAATACCATTTCCTTAGATAGAAAGTTTTAAACTAATTTCTTCCTTTCCCGTATTCAGGTAGTCACCTGATTCTTTTAGTGTTGCCTTTAAAGTCTCTTTTTTGGCTGGGATGCCAGGGGAGTCTCTTCCACAGATCTTTGTTTTCTTAAACTCAGTTACATTAACAGCCTTCCTGTTAATTTCTTTGACTCTTCTATTTCTTTTTCTTTTTTTTTCTTTTGCAGTGGGGAGGTAGTTAGGTTTATTTATTTATTTGATTTTTCACTGGAGGTACTAGGGATTGAACCCAGTACCTCAGGCATGCTAGGCGTGCGCTCTACCTCTTGAGCTATACCCTCCCCCCGACTCTTCTATTTCTAATCCTTACTGTGCAGTTTTCTAAAGCTACTTATCTTTAAATATTACTTTCTTTGTGTCTTCTGACTGCTTAATAAAAAGTTCAGTGTTATTTTTTTTCTACATTTAGCCACTTGTTGCTAGTGTTCAAGGTCTTCATAACCTGGTATCACCTTATCTTGTCCTATTTATTTCCTACTTTTCTCCAACTCATCTTTCATTTTTGTTAGTCTTCCTACTTTCTACAGAAACTGCAGAATCTTCCTTAATCTCCTCCTTCACTTGTTTTTATTTCTACTTCCTAATATATTTTTTTTTCTTCTACTTACCTTTCTAACTTCTGTTCTTCAAATCCCAGTGCAAGTCCTGTATATCTTTTCTGTAATAATCTAATGATTACTTTAGCTTTTACCAATTTATCTCTTTAAAGTCTTTGATAACTTGTTATCATTACCATTCTTAATTATTGGCTTCCTTGGTGGTTCATTATTACATTGCATTTAGACTATATACTTTTTGAAGAAAGGTACCATATAACTATACATGGTAATGAGTATTTAATTATTAAGATGGTTCATTGTTTTAAACAAACCTGAAAACATAGGAAGGAGAAGGATTACTTCAGTTTTAATATTTTGGGAAAATTTCTAATAATAAAGTCTAATAATGTATTACATTTGTTAGGACATTGTCACTGTTGTTGCTTTTCTAAGTCATATATATGTATGATAGTATAGATAGTAAGTTTTTTCCCCCTTACACTCTTTGTTAGTCATGGTTTTTCAGTGATTTCCTGAAGTTACTGTTCTTGTTTGATGAGGTTTTTAAAATCATTGTTATAAACTTCATGGAATGCTATGGACATTAAAGCATTAGCAGTTACGTGGCCAGATTACCTTATTTTACACCATAGTACATTGTGTGGCTTATCTCACATCATACATCTTATAAGAGGTTAATTAAAACTGTCCAACAGACTGAATTGTCTCGAACAGTGAAGGATTTTTTTTTCTTCAAGCTGTATCAATAGTGAACAATGTTTTTGGTTAATGGCTGAAAAAATACTTTCTGTATTTTACTTCAAGATATTAGTTAGTAGTCCTTTTAACTTTTTGAATTTCCATTTAATGTTGTTTTTCTTATAGGCACTTTTTAGATTTGACCAAAATATATTAGTTGGACAAATTTAAATACTGTATTAAACTTTTATCTCCTGATAATAGGTCTGATTATATTGTACTAATTCTGGTTTTTTCCTTTCATCGACAACATTTTATACTCTATTCATTTTATTTGTTAAAAGAATGTTA